AAAACAACATCCCCAGAATGCCTAATGCCCCCCTGGGCCGAGTCTGACTCTGGCCTGGCTGGCTGCCTGCCAGAGTCCGCAGCCACTTTCCAAGGACATAGAGGGTGAACGTTCCTGTCAAGGTTCCCTGAGGACTGTCCCTTCCCAGCCCTGACCCTCCTCGGGGCTCCCCCCAGGGGCCTGTGAAGCCCTGGGTAAAGACACCAGGGCCCAGAGGCTGAGTCACTCCCTTAGGGCCGACCTGGGTCAGAGCAAGTCCGTTATTTCAAGGACAAGTTCTCAGACCCTTTATCCAGCCACGCCCCGCAGGAACCGAGAGGAGAAACATCCACGGGCAGTTGAGAAACAGGCAGGCGCAATCCTGGCAAATCAGCTTCTTTGGGGTCTGAGGCCTCAGGTGCCTACATGTTCAACACGCAGAGGAAGACACGCCCCGCCCCCTGCTCCAGCCACTGGAAGGGGGCCCAGGAAGCCCAAGGCAGGCCTCATGCAGAGACATTTCGGGGGCGAGGAGGGGGCCCTCCTTCCAGATGTGGAGGCAGTGGATGGTGGGCAAGGGCAGCTGGGTGGGGCCATGTCATCCCTGCGGGAGGCCACCAAACAGGGCTGTGGACCGCTCCAAGTTTTTGATGTGCCTGCTGGGGAAGGGGGTGTCTAAAACCATTTCAAAAGCTGGGGGAAGCCCAGAGAAGGGGGCCTCGTTCCCTGTGGGGAGGGGGGATTTCAAAGGCAACCCTGCTGCTGAAAAGGTCTCAAAAAACCCTTGCCTTTCTATCGGCTCCAAATCACTCCCTGGCCAACAGCAGCCAGGAGAGGGTTCTGGGAAAATGTTCCCAAGGAGAAGCGTCCCTGAGTCATCATAACTCCCAGGGTCTGGAGGCTGCAGAGCCACGAAGAGGCCCCCCGCTATAAAAAGGCCAGTTGAGCATCCCCCAGGGGAGGGCTCCAGCAGTCCGGATCCCTGGGGAGGCCAGCCTCAGACCCCCTGCGCCCCACGTTTATGAGAAGGCCGTCAAGCTGAACAGTGTCACTTCTACCCGCCAAGTCCCCTTGGTGCTGCTAAGGGGGGCCTTTGCCCCCAACCAGCTGCAGGCATCCACTCTGGCCTCGGGCCATTTAGCAGGGGAGGCTGTCCACAGGGACACTGGGCCCCAACAGATTTACTGGGACTTCGGAGCCAGCCCCAGCTGGGGCTCTTGGGCCCACTACTCTTCCATTCCTATCCCCAACCATTGCCCCTGCCACCTTCCCCAAGCCACCAGGGCCAATAGGTACACCGCACAAACCAAATATCGGTTCTATCACCAACCTCTCTCTTCGCTCCTGGTCTCATTCCCCCCACCTCTGGACCAGGCCAAGTGGATCTCTGTTCCTTTCTATCTGCTTCCCCCTCAACACTGCAGCCGGATTCATCTCCCTCAAGTACTCAGCTACGTCCAGGCCATACTCTGCTCCCAAACCTTCAATGGCTCCCTAGTGCCTAAGCCCAAGGTTGCACATTCAGGTGCCCACGGGGACCAGGCTGGGGACACAAATGAGCAAAGCAGCCCCTAAAATACAATAGGGATGGGTGGGGACTGTGGTGCCCGGGAACACGCGATCCCAGCTGCCACCGCGCTCCTGTCAGCTGCACCATATGGGAACTCAGGGCCCTGGCAGCCCCCTCTTCTGGTTTTTCAAGAGCAGCCAAAAAAACATCAGCCAAGGGACCCAAGATTTGGACCCCAGCCTGCAGGGTCGAGTCCAAACCCAAACCCCTTAACTTGGCATTCAAGGCCCTCTGTGGCCTGGCCCCAATCTACCTCCCCACCCTAATGCCCACAATGCTCCCACATGAGAGGCCTCCATCCCAGCGAAGTCAGGCTCCTCCAGCCCCCCAAACTCCCTCCTCTGCTCCTGCCTCTGAGCCTGGCTCACCCCACAGTCCTCCCGCAGACACTGCTCCCCGTCTCCTCCATCTAACAGTGCATCCCGCGAGGACCTGCTTCTGCTGAGCCCTCCGAGGCTGTTGTTCTCCGGTGACTGGCCTTCCTTGTCAAAGCTGCGCCCTCTGCCAGTGATGGGCCCTGCCACAGAGAAAACTCCTCTTCTGCCTTCAACACCCAGGCCTTTCTGACGGACCTCTTTGGATCTAGCAGTCCTCGTTCCGGGAGCATCAACCTCCCGGCACTGTGTGTACCTGGACGCCGGATGCCGTCAGCTTCCCCTGCGGGCAGCACTGGGTCCTTCCCGCCACAGACCCTGGCAGGGAGACACACACAGTGGAGAGAGCCCAGCCTAATTCAGACCCTGGTTCTTCTGCTTCATCTCTGGAAGAACTTGGATACATCACTGAAGCTGCTCGATGAGACGGAGGAGAGCACCCACCTAGGGTACCTGGCACGTGGTGGGGCTCAGCGTCGTCACCCAGTGACACCTCCCTTCCCGGCATGATGTGTGTGCCATGGTGTCTCCTACGGGGTGCCATAAGGTCCCTGAGGGCGGGGACCGGGCCCCCTTCTCCCTGGATCACCTGAGACCACCCCAGCACTCTGCATGCAAGAAGTGCTCAGTCAGAGTTCTTTGATAAATGGAGTTGATGAGGCCAGGGCAGGGCTGGCAGGTGGGGAGGGCAGGTTAGAGCAAAAGACCGCACCCTGCCACCAGAGACATGGCTCACATGGGGCCCCCAGCCCACGCTGCATGGGGACGCGGCGTGGTGACGCTTTCTGCAATGCATGAAAGTCTCACTCGGACTCTCAGGCTCTGAGACCAGCAGCTCCTTGCTGCCTGCTCCCCGTGTATCCTGGGAACGAGGCCGGCTCACAGCACGGCAGAGCAGGCTGGGGTGAGGGGCGCTGCCCAGCCCCCAGACGGGACCGCCTCCCTCGAGAGCCCGGCACCCAGCTCGCACCCAGTTCCGGATGCCCCTCCAGCCCCCCTTTCCCAACACCCAGCCCATCTCTCTAGTTAGGAGCAACCCCCTCGCCTTCCACCTGAGGACACATGGCTTCCAGGTTCTGCACAGAAGGAAAGGTGGAAGGGGTGGGTGGGTGGGGGAAGCACCTTTGAAACCACTGTGGTCCAATTAGCCAGGCTCTCGCCCTTCGTGCTTACAAACAGGCACACACATTAACACCTGCTACAAAAGCAAACATTTTTAGATATCTTCATCTTTACCTTCTTGACACTCCCATGAAAGCGCTCTCAGCAGCTGGTGACTGACAGGATAGTTTCCTCCTTCTACTTCAGCAGGGGGCTTTCAAACAGAAGAAATTAAAAAGCCACCAATCTCCCTGTCAGGCTGAACTCCCGGGGCCTTACCTGCCCCTCCTCAGCGCCCCCGCTCCCCTCACCACCGGGCGAGCCCCAACCCACACATGGTCGGGGTCCACACCTTCAGGGGAACTACTCAGAGTCACCGGGACACTGGACACCCAAACCCACCGAGTGTGCCAAGGCTGCCGCTGGGGGGGACCAGGGCACCATCCTCACCGTGAGCACAATTTCACTGAAGAAGGACCTTAGCAATCGCTCCTTTTGCGGAAAACATGGATGGTGGCCCAGACGTGAGCAATTGTCCTGCATCGCTGGTGGGACAGTAGTTTCACACAAGTGCCTTGGAAATCTGTCCATCTGTGTCTACTGAAGGTGACCTACTGGTATCCTATGACCCGCCAAGTCCAGCCCTACCGATCTTCCCATTCAAACCGCATGCACCTGCTCACCAAAATCCACACACGAGAAGGTCCACAGCAGCACATGATCTGAAACAACTCCAACACGGAAATGACCAAGAAGCCCAGCAAGAGTCGACAGACAAGATAAATGAAGTGTTCACACGATGGAATAGTACACACCCATGAGAAGGGGCGATGTGCAAACTACGGGCTCGAACGTGAATGACCCAAAGCCGCCAGACACCAACGAGCAGAGACCATACAATCTCATTTACATCCAGTGCAAAATGGGCCCAAAAAGCCCTATGCCATTCGACATCAGGATGGTGACAACATTTCGTTGGGGGCGGGGGAGGGCCCCGAGGGGTCAGGAGGGATGCGAAAATGCTCTGCTTCCTCGCTGGGCTGTTGCTTACACAGGTGTGCCCGGTTCATGAGAGTTCACCGAGTTGCACGGTTAATGGATCTCTTCGAATGTATGTGATTAAGGGTTTTGTAAAACAGTTCTCTGTCGGCATGGCTGTTTTTAAGACTATAATGGAAAGTTATCAGAGGAAGTGAAGGGTCAGGATGCTCAACCCACACCTGAAGCCTCACTGCTCAGACTGCAGGGGTCTTGGAGACGGCGATCATCCTTCCACTGGAGACCCAAGGCACCAGGATTCCAGAAGCTCCCAAAGCACTCACCGCCAAGTCCTCCATCCCCCAGGGCCAAGCCCCTACGCTCACCGGAAATCCAGCCGCACTCCCTCTTCCACTGAGGGCATCCCCAGCCGCCAGGGAGACCACACCCATCCACGCAAAGCACGCACCTTCCCTCCATACCTCAGGCCAAGAGGGAACACTATGGCGCTTTGCAAGTCCCCCTTCTGGAAAGGCTGATTTTTCCAAAGTCCAAAACTACTTGAAGGGGAATAGGAAAAGCACTGAAATAACTTTGTAAGCACTCTGTTTTGACAATGTGCCTGAGGAATTCACCACGTTTAGCGGGGAAATGTGAGCAGTTAAATCTATTCAATGTCATGACATACGAAATTGAGGCATAATTGCCCCTGAGTGCTTGACAACTGGAAAGCACTTCGTTTCAGAAATGGAGGGAAATTTATGCTGGGAAATGGAAGAGATTGTCAAAAGTTTGATTGTAATGTGAGTGGAGCTGCGACAAGAAGGCTGGATGGAGAAAGTGCTCAGCTCTTACACTTTACTCCCATTTGAAATGTCTCTGAAACAGCAGTTGTGACTCCATCTTTCACCCTAAAAGCAGTGAAATGATGATCGGAACCACAAATTTCAGACCCCGATGAGTGGCCCCAGCATGGGTGGGAGGAAATGCTCTCTTACCAATCATGTGGTTGGCAACATGGATTTGGATCTCTCTCTCGTTCTCAAAGGTCATCTGGCACTTGATGCACTGGTATGTCTTTTTCTGTTTGGAAGCCAAAAAAGAAAGGAATTAGATAGTCAGGAGGTAGAAAAGAGCATAAAGCAAAAGTGCCTGGAGGTCCTGGCTCAAGACTTTCCAGAATGGCTCTGGTCCCCTCCCAGGTCTCGCTGAGCCATTCAATTCCCACCTGCCTCGGAATCCAGCTCTCCAGCCTGGGGATGGGGACTGGGCTAGATTCTAAGGGAGCTGTCCTCTGTTAGATGTGGGGAAATTGCCATGATGGGAATCACCATCCCAAGGTGAGAGCACACAGTATGACCATGGAAAAGAAGTTGAAGGAGGCTGCCCTGCTTGGAGCATGCTCAAATCCATCTATGCATCCCCTAGCTACCCATCCATCCATTTCTCCATCATCCAGCCATCTACCTACCCACTGTCTACCCACCTATCCAACTACATGCGCGTGCGCACACACACACACACACACACACACACACACACACACACAGAGCCATCTGTCTACCCATCAATCCACCTACCTATCTTATCATCCATCTACTTATACACACCTACCCATCCACCCGTTCATTCATCCACCCTCCATCTACCCATCCATCTGCTGTTCATCTGTCTGTCTTCCCCTACATCCATCTACCTATCCTCTCTCTCTAACCATCCACCCACCCATCCACCTATCCAACCATACATCTATCTTTCCACTCATCCAACTACTCCATCTCTTTACCCGCCCTAAGGACCATGTGGCCGAGCAGGGGATACTGCTCCTGCCAATCCTAGTGTTAGAAGTAACTGAGGAATTCCTCATTTGCCCTAGGCACACATGGCCGCAGTGATCCTACAGCTGGCTTCCACACACAGGAAGCTGAGACCAGCTGCCCTGATGGGGTGGGAGCAGGAAAATGGAGATCATCGGAAGCTTCAGAGCTTCTTGAAGACCCATTCGAAAGAGTGGAGCTCATTCTCAACAGTAAGCCTGGCTGGGTGGTTGTGAAAGCAGGCCCCTGTGGACAGGGGCAGTATTGCCTGTGTGGGGGAAGGTTGGTGGCTGTGGGTTTTTATGAAGGGGACAGGGTGGTACTGGAATCCAAAATATCCAAGCTTTTTGAAGACCACTTCAACTCCGGGACGATGGGGCCTCCCTCCACCCCTGGAAAAGGGAGCAGGACTTTGGATTTCTTGGCTGAACACTCAGGCCCAACCCTCAACGATGCAGCCAGGATGAACCACCAGGGGGCTCAGTGTCTCAGCTCCCACCGTGGCTCCAAGCACATCTGCAGCTCCCCTCGAGGGTCCCACCTCCAGGCCTTTGCCCACGCTGTGTCCTCCACTCGGAGTATACCCTTTCCATCCTTGAAGACTCCGTTCAAATGTCACCTCTGCTGAGAAGCCTCCACTTCCCACCCAGGGATGAGTTCGGGGCCTCCCCAGGCCCCCGAGCTTATGCTTAAGCATCTAGTTCATCAGCACACAGATTTGTTGTGTCTAATTGACTTGTTTGCTCCCCCCACTGCACCACGAGCACCCAGAGGCCCAGGATGTGTTTCGTCCACCTGTGAGGTCCCACGGCCAGCAGAGACTCCCTGCTTGGGAAGCATCTGTTGAACAAACGAGCAAAACTGCAAATACTATGTTGCAAAGCACTCTACTAGGACAGAAGGAACAAAGAGAACCAAAGATGGGACTTCTATACGCTGGATCCTCAGCACCGGGCACAGGGCCTGTCCCAGACCGAGTGCCTCATAATGACTTAACTTTTATTACAGTGGTTGTTGATGCTGAGCAAATGCTGGTGGAACACACGAGTGAAGAAACAACAGTCTTTGTTGGTGCTGGGAGCTTCGGTTCCAGAGGCAATGTCTCCGCTCAGCCTCCAGAACCCGCTCTGATAAGACCGGGGCTCTTCCCCCAATGTTGCAAAAGACCCAGGGGTTCAGAAGAGTGGCAGAGAAGCAGGCATTTAGCCTGGAAATGCCCCGGGGCAGAATGGCATGAGGCTGGAGGGCCAGACAGGGCTGGGGATTCTGGCCATACAAGAGACAGAAGAGATGTTCAGGTCAGAGGAGACAGTGGGGACTGAGGTCTTCTGGGGGGACACAGGCCCAAAGCCCCCATCTCAGCTCAACTCCACGTCTCTGCTCATGGAGAGCAATGATCTTGGGTCTCTCCATTGTCAAAATCATTCATTCCTTCCCACATGTGTACCCCACCCCCTTGATGCGGGAAGGAAGGAAGGGAGGGAGGGAGAGAGGCAGGGAGGGGTGAGGGAGAATGAAACACACCCCAGGAATCTCCACACCAAGGAAGCCCAGAGCAGGCCTGCTGCACAAGGAAGGCCATGTGCCCTCTCCATGGTTCTGCTTGGGTAGAAGTCCGTGGAGGCCACACCACAGCCATGGCTGGTCCAGACCAGTGCGGAGGACGGGCCACGATTAAGGTGATTTTGGTTGTTCCTCCTAGGGGGAGGTGAATGAAGGGGGTCGCTATGCTTGGCAAAAAAAAAAAAAAAAAATCACCAGGGGCCGAGCAGAATGAGAAGCTATCCCCAGGGCTCCTCCAGCGTGTGGCCACCCCCTCGGCAGTAGGAAGAAGACTGCAGATAACTGGGCCCTTCCTGATGGGGAGAAAGACTCCAGGGGATTCCCAAGGGAAGGGACGCTGCTGACCACAAGAGCCTGGATGTACACACACACACACACACACACAGCCTGCATGCACGGGTATGGACGTGCCCACGAGGACACACACAGACATGCAAACAGACGTATGTACCCTCCCTCACCCCGACTCGCTGTCAACACACAAGACCCCCAGCCCCCGCCACACACCCAGCAACCTGCTCCCTGTAACACAGACACACGGGTACAACAGCCACAGAGCAGTGGGGACGTCCTCACGACCACAAGCTCACACACGTCGACGTATCCAAACTCATCCCGAGACACAAAGGCTTTCGGCTCTGTCACTGGACCCCCGGTGGCTACATCCGTCACACCCGGTGTGCGCACGAGCACACGCATGGACCCCTCCCAGACACACCCCCGCGGTCACAGCAGACTCCCGAGTGTCCCCGTGTGCACTCGCACGCGCAGCCTCACCAGCACCAACATTCACTAAAGCTCGTGTGTTATTCCCAGAGGCCCCCACGCCGAGACGGCCCTTCCGGCCTTGAACGCTAGGCACCTGGCCAGGGCCATCTGGTCCTCCACGTCGGGGGAACGTGAGCTCAGGGACAAGCAGGTGAGGACTCTCTCTTGTCTCCTTCCCACTGCAATGCTGGCCGGACCCCGTCCTCACCCCAATACCTCCTCTTGGTCTGTCTTCCCCTTCTCTATCCCCCAGAGAGCCCCTCCTCCTCTGGAGCTTCAGGCCCCACCAGGAGACATAATTATAGAAAGAGAGAACTTGGCATTCAAAGCGCCTCCTCTGTCATAAGCCCCCTCCCCAGAGCCCAGCCCAGGAGAACCAGAGCTGAGCCCTGGGGCCTGCGGCCAGGGCTGCCTCCCCCTGTGTGGCCCCAGCAAGCTCAGAGAAGAGCCCAGGGCAGAGGGAGAACACGCTGGAGACCAGCAGACAGGAGACAAGAAGAGTGGGAACGACAGGAAAGACAGCCCATAGCTGCTGAATTTCCACGATCGTGATGGCAGCTCACATTTACTGAGCACCTACTATGTGCAGGCTCTGTTCATTCTGAAGACTCACAATCATTTGGGAAGCCCCACTTTAAGGGTGGAGAAAGTGGAGTTTGGAGAGGCTAAACCACTTGGCCAGAGCCCCACACTGCTGAGCAAGGGGACAGGGATTTGATGCCAGGCAGGCTGCGTCCGGAGCCGCTCTCTGAGCAGCTTTTCTCAGCTCCGTGTCCCAGAACACCCCAGACGGTCCTGGGCTAGGGCACAGAGAGCTGGTGCGGCCTGGCCAAGCCCTCTGACCTGTGCGAGAGCACCTAGGCTGCCCCAGCTGGCACTGTGAGGACCTGGGGAATCGATGGCGGGCTGGGATCTGCCCACACTGGCCTAGAGTTGGGGTGATGTTGTTACTACCCATAAGCAGAGCTGGGGAGGGGGTGGGGCTGGAGCCTCCATGCTTCCCCGCTCCAGCCGACAGCAGCCTCGGCCCCACGGGAACCCAGTCCTCTGAGAGCTGGTTGCTATGGATACACTCCCGAGGGTCCCAGCCTGCCAGCCCCCAAGCCCTCGCTCGGCCCCCAGAGTCTGCTCTTGCATGCGTGAGTCCTAGGGGAGCGAGGGGTGGGTGAACAGACAGCTGGGCCCCTGCCCCCAGGCGTGCCCAGGCAGGGGGCAAGGCCCCAGAGGCTGGGCCTCCACTGGGGAGGTTCCATGCTTTGTCTAGCTCCTTTCTGCAAACGGCCCATCTGCCCAGGCCTCTAGATGTGATGGTCTGCTCACCTCCTCTCTCGCAAGGCCTGGGACAGGGAGAGGTAGGCCTGTCGGGCTCCCAGAAAACAAGCCCCCTCGGGTTTGAATCCCTGAGCTGGCAGGTAGAGCTGCGCATCCCCGGGTAGATGGTTCCCCCTTTCTGAGCCTGGGGACCATCTCTGCCAAAACAGAGGTCACGGCAAAGCTCCCAGGTTGTTGCCACGGAAATGATAAAGAGCCTTTACGCACACACTAGGGGCTTCATGAAGTGGTCCTTGATGCAGAATCCAGGGCAGAGACTGGGGAGGGGCCGGCTGCAATAGCTCAAGGCTTTGGAGGCACCAGAAGCAGCCCCGTGGCTCGCAGGAGCCCCCGCACCACGGTGGGCAGTGTGCGAAGGCAGGGATGGGGCTGGGGTGCACCTGGGAGGACGGTGTACCGGGCCCCAGCCCTGCCACACTGTCCCACAGTCTGAACGAGGGGGGCAACTATCCCAGACCCCACCCCAGCCTGCCACCAGGATGGGCTCCAGAGCCGGGCAGAATGTGGGTCAAGAGCTCGCTCGGCTGTGGCCCACGCTCCCTGGGTTCAAATCCCTTCTCTGCCTCTTGACAGCTGGGGGCTAATAACGGCCAACGGTTCTGTGCCTCCGTTTCTTCATCCGTAAAGGTAGTGTCACGGCGTAGACAGAAAGTGCTCGGCACATCCTTATCCTTCGGTAAGTGTGAGCTGTGATCATAAACGCGAGAGATAGCAAGTGATGTTTCCTGTGCGCCCAGCACTTCCTTTGCTCACTTAAAGCTCGAGGCCACATACGGAGGTCGGCACAGTCACAATATCTAACCACGGATGAGGCACGAACCCCGACCAATCACAGCAGATGCTCGTTAAAAACCCGGAAGGGCTCCCCCTCCCCCGGGCCTGCCCGGTGATGTCAGCCCCGGACACAGACCCTGTCGCTATGTGTTGCTACTGTTATCACCCTCACTCTCTGGCTTTATAGGTGAGGACAGACGCCCGGAGAGATGGAACCCCTGGTGGGTCCTGGAGGAGGCAGATTTTCATTTTAACCCCGCCCACCAGTGGAAGCTGAGCAGAGCTGAGAGGTGGTGACCAGGGCCGGTGCACAGTGTCCTAGGGGACCCCTGGCCAGAGGCAGTCTCCATAATACATTCCCCTTCCACTCTCTCCAGCCCTCCTTCTCTCTCATTCTCGCCCTCCAAGTCCCAGAGTCCCAGGCCCCAGTTCTGATCCCACTTCTGCTCCCGGAGCGGAACAGCCAGGGCTACTTCCCCGTCTTCCAGCAGGCACCTGCAGCGGGTGGCCCTCCTCCAAATTCTGCCTTACTGCCTGTGACACCAGCAGTGACCCTCGAGGGAAGCATACTCCCGAGATCCACTTGGCACCTCCCCAGTCTGGAAACAGACAACAGACTCATTGGGAATCCCCGGGCCCATCCTGCCTGACAAGCCAGGAGCCACGCAGGCTCCAGGCCCACCACCACCTTGGCCGCTGGCCCCACAGCCCATGCGGACCCTCCAGCAGCCCGAACTTGCCCTGCCTCCCTGAAACCTACTAGCTGTGGGCCTGTGCTCTCCCCCTTGTCTGGGAGCCCCCAAGGTAGAGTCCATTTCTGATTCTCCTCGACTGCCAGGCACCGCCCGCCCCCCAAACATAACGGGTGCTCGGGACAAATCTGATGACGACTGAAAGGATCCATCAGCCACGAAGGAGAACAGTCACGGGAACCATTCCTAGGGTCTTCCATGCACCAGCAACTGCCCTAACTATAATGTGTGCTGTGGACGATAACAGTATCAGCTGGTGCATACAGCTAGCACGATCGGCCCGAACTAAGTGCAGGTCCTGAGCCCTTTATAGATGATGGCTATGGATTATCAAAAGAATCCTGAATCTGAAGCCCAGAGAGCAAAGGGACTCACCCAAGGAGACTCAGCAAACAAGCGAGTAAGTCCACCCCAGATCTGTAAGAAAGGCGATAATCACTTATAACCGTGTGTCAGCCAGGGCACCAGGCCCTTTACTTATCTTACGCCACGGGTCCCTAAAAGCAATCCTATGACGTCCGGATGACTGTCACCCCCCCTTTTGCGGATGAGCCCTCGACGAATGTGGCCCAGAGAGATAGATAACGTACGCCAACGTCACACAGCGGGGAAGGGAACGGACAGCCCTGGGGGTCACGTCGCAGTCTACGACGGAGCGGATGCACTTGACCGCCACACGAGAGCGCGGCCTCTCCGGGCTACTAGAGGCAGCACCACGAGGAGACACAGAGCTCAGCGGAGCCCCGAGGAGCAGGGGCAGGCTCTTACCCGGGGCACTGGCGACGTCTGGGCGCCTTTCCGGGGCCCACTGGTCTCCGGCGTGAGGTCACGGTGGTCCACCTGCACGTGGCTCTCCAGGTCCTCGGCACTCTCGAACTTGACGCTGCACTCGGGACAGCGGAGGCCGGCGCAGGGCCGGTCGGCGGGCTCGGGCGGGGCGAGGCCGCCCACCTGTCCGTTGGCGCTGCGGGCCATGCAGCCGGCACAGAGGCCGTAGGGGAGCCCGTTGACGTCGAGCTTCACCAGGTCCTGCTTGCTGCGGAACTCCTTGAGGCACAGGGCACACTTGTAGAGCTTCTGCAGCCCCTGGCCGTTGGGGGAGGACGCGGCCGAGCTGCCCGCCAGCTTCTGCATGTGGAAGGTGCCGTGGATCTTGAGCTCGAGCGTGGAGGTGACCGTCTGCATGCACACCACGCAGCGGAAGCCCGTGAGCGAGTTGCGCAGGTCGGGGTGCATCTGACAGTGCTCGATGAACTCCTCCTCGCTCTGCAGGGGCATCTTGCAGATACGGCAGGTGCCGGTGTCCAGGCTCTTGCTGTGGGTCACCTTGTGCTCGGTGAGCGTCAGCAGGGAGGGGAAGCGCTCGCCGCAGATGGGGCACATGTAGTGCTTGGCGGGGCCCCGGTGCGTCTGCAGGTGCTCCCGGAGCCCGTTCTCCGAGAAGAAAGTCCGCGAGCACACGTTGCACTTGTGGCTGCCCTTGATGAACTCGGCCTTCTTGCGCGAGCCGTCGTCCTCCCCCGGCCGGATGTTGTGGTCCCTCAGCCGGTGGTTCTGCAGCAGCACCTCCATGGTGTAGGCCGCCCCGCAGATGTCGCAGCCGTACATGGGCTCCGACGCGTCCACGTCGTCCTCGCTGGCCTCGTGGCTGTTGGGCGCCTCGGGGTTCTTGAGCAGCACGCCCTGCAGGTCGGCGGGCTCCGCCTTCTTGGCGGCGGCGGGGGGCACCCCGTTGGCCGTGCCGTTCTCGGGGGCGGCGTCGAACACGCAGTGCTTCTCCCGCAGGTGCTTCTCCAGCAGGATGATGGCGTGGAAGGCCTTGCTGCAGAACTTGCAGTTGTACTTCTTGCTGTGCGTGGTGATGTGGCACTGCAGCTCCACCTCGGTGCTGAAGGTCTCCCCGCAGAAGATGCACTTGTGCGCCTTGGCCGGGTTGCCCAGGTGGCTGTGTTTGACGTGCACCTGCAGGTCGGCCTCCTTGCGGAAGTCCCAGTTGCAGGCCGTGCAGCGGTACATCTTCTTCTCGTTGCTGTGCTTCACGGCCAGGTGCACCTGGATGGACACCTTGGAGTCGAAGACCTCCTGGCACAGGGTGCAGTGGTACAGCACGAAGGTGTGCATGTCCAGCAGGTGCTTCTGCAGGTCGTCCACCGAGGAGAACTGCTTGTCGCAGCTCTCGCACACGTAGTGGGTCGACGTGGTCATGTAGTGCACCGTCAGGTGCTGCAGGAGGGACTCCTGGGAGTCGAAGTCCTCTTTGCACTGGGGGCATGCCTGCTTCCGCAGCAACAGCTCCAGGTGCAGCTTCAGGTGGGTCTGGAAGCTCTCGAAGTTGGAGAACTTGAGGTCGCACTGATTACAGGGATACTCGCCGTTGGAGATGGAGTTGGCGCTGGCCGAGAGCCGCTGCCGCTTGGGGGAGGCCACCTCCACGTCGGACGAGACCGGGCTCTGCTCCGCCTTGGACTTCTTGCTGTGGGCGAGCGGAATGTTCTTGTGGTTCTCCTTGATGTGCTTGGTGAGCTTCAGGATGGAGCCGAAGATGGGCGAGTTGGTGCAGTAGGGGCAGGAGTAGACCTCCATGAAGGACTGCGTGGGCTGCACGACCGGGGACTCCAGCTTGGCGCTGCCCACGCCGCAGTGAGCCTGCTGGATGTGCTCGGTGAGGGAAGCGTCGGTCAGGAAGCCCATGGAGCACTGGTTGCAGAAGAAGGCGTTACTGCCGTCGGGCGGGCCGACGTCGGGGCCGCAGTGGGAGGCGCGGATGTGCTCCTGCAGGCTGTTGATGTCGGCGAACACGTCGGGACAGTAGTTGCAGTGGAAGGCCGAGAGGTTGCCGAACTGCATCACCGGGTAGGCGTGGCTCTTGTGCAGCTTGCGGACATGCTCGTTGAGGTTGTACAGCGTGGGCATGGAGTCCAGGCAGATCTGACACGTGTGGCTCTGCTGAGGCTTGTCGGCGTGGATGGTCTTCAGGTGAATCTCCAGCACGGCCAGGCTGTTAAAGTCCCGCTTGGAGCAATAGGGGCAGCTGTAGACCACCTTGGACCAGCCCTGGCCCTCGTCCCGCATCTTCTTCTGGCCCCGCAGCGGCTTCAAGGTGGAGTCCGGGGTGGAGCCGCGCTCCACGGACGCGCTGGAGTCCGGCGTGGCGCTGCTCATGGAGGCCACGCTGCCCAGCACGGGGTCGGGGCTGGCGCTGTGGTTGCTGGAGTCGGGCTGCCGGTGGCTGTCCAGGTGGCAGTAGACGCCCTCCACCGAGGAGAACTGCTCGGGGCACATGGGGCACTTGTGTTTCTGGTTGGCGTGGGCTTGGTGGATGTGGGTGAGCAGCGCGTTCTCGTCCACGAAGACCTCGGGGCAGTGGATGCACTGCAGGTCGGCCTTCTCGGAGAGCTGGGGGTGGCGGGTGAGCACGTGCTTCTCCAGCTCCTCTGTCTGGCTGAAGGTGTCCTCGCAGTAGTCGCACATGAAGTCGTCCTTCTTGGCCTCCTTCTCCGACTTGGCCAGGTGCTCCTTGTTCTTCTTGTGCGCCTGCATGTGGCTCTGCAGCGAGCTGGTGGAGGAGAAGCCGCGCTTGCAGACGGTGCACTTGAAGGGCTTGCTGGAGCTGTGGGTCTTCAGGTGGATCTTGAGGTGGTCGCTGCGGGAGAAGGCAGCCTCGCACTCGTGACAGTGGTACTTCTTGTCGCCCGTGTGCAGCTTGATGTGCCGGTCACGACTCCTCTTGTGCTTGAAGAGGCGGCTGCAGTAGGTGCACTTGAACGGCAGCTTGTCGCTGTGGATCTGCTCGTGCCTCTTCAAGTAGCTCAGGCGGATGAAGGACTTGTCGCAGAACTGGCAGGGGTACGGCAGGCCCGTGCCCCCTTCCTCCTCGCCCAAGCCGAGGTCACACCCATCTCCGATCATCTGCGTGGGTGACGCAACATCCTTGCTGGAGGGAGACGAGGCGACCCAGGAGAGTTGCGGGTCGTCGTCACCATCTGCGGGGGGGAAGGCGGAGAGGAGATTAGAGGCAATTCCCAGGGCCGCCCAGAAACAAGGACAGAGCCGGCTTCTCGACAGCTCGCCGACTGCTGCCGGGGGAGCCGGGGGAGGGAGTCCTGGGGGCGGGGGTGGGGTGGGCTCAGCGGAAGCGAGTGGACATGAAGGCCCTTGGTGTGCAGAGGGGTGGCAGGATATGGAGGAGACACGGAGACAAGTCTTCCTCCTCGGAGACACCTGCGTGGGCCTCGCTGGACACCGTACCCCCCACAGGAGGTGAGCTCTCGAGCACTTCCCTGATGGTGTTGGGGGTGCAGCCGGAGAGCGAAAAAGTCCCCGGAAATGACCTCACCGACCGGCAGTCCCAGAGGCCAAAAGGAGGCAGGTCCTCACCTGAAGGAGTCCTGGGGATTGACTCCCCTTCCAGCCCCTGGTCCTGGTGGGAGGTTCCACTTATCCTTAGGGGCATAGGCAAAACCGTGCAAGAAAAGAAAATGCACCCCCCCCCGCAAAAAAATGAAAATGTGCCTTAGTGAATTCTGCTGCACCACATCTGGGGATGGAGCTGGGTCTGCTGCTACAGGGAGCAGACAGACCCGGGAGGCCCAAGTCCCGGGCACGTGGCATCAGACCCAGCAGCACAAACAGGAGTAAGCAAAGGCTGCTTGAGAAGGATCTGTGGCGTTCCCAGCCCAAACCATCCTAAGAGGGGGTGCTTGCTCTGTCCCCCCTCCACCCCTGGATTTGCCCCAAGGCCGCTCAGGACCCTGGGAGATGGCCTGATCCGGGGCGACTAGGGGATGAGCCCGGGGTCCAGATGGCCCTGAAACCCACCTTGGCAGGCAGGGGAGGCCGTCCTTGCCCAGATGAGCACCTGGCCCACCCTCCCCGGCCTTCGCTGGACCATCCAGCCTCAGGGGAAACCTAAACAAACCAGGGGCTGGCCGTTTCTGGCAAAACAAAGGCACCCAGGACCCAGCGAGCAGAGCCGGTGAGGTTCCCCCACGCCTCGGTGGGGGTCAGGCCGGTGGGGGTCAGGCCGAGCCAGCCTGCGCACGGAGTGAGTTCTGCGGCTCAAGTTTCGCGCCAGGTGGATTTAAAACTTAATAATGAATGAAACGGACCGCAGGCTACCGCGGGCAGGGGAGAGACAAACAAAAGCTCAGATTCAGCCGCACTGACCTTGCTCTTGTAACCCCAAGGAAATAAACCACTGCCCCGGCCAGCAGAGCTTAGTCTCCAGAAAAAGCCTCACAGACCTAACCCAGAAAGTCTGGGCCAGAGGCAGCGCAGACACACATACACATCCGTTCACACACCCGATTCCCACTATGGCTCACACACACACTCACACCTGGTGGCACTCACCACAGCCATGGGTATGACCCCGGCCCCGAGGGTCCCATACCCCGAGGCTCTCACAGTTGCCTCTGCTGTCCCAGGCAGGATTTTGAGGGGTCTCCTCAGCGCTGGCTCTGAGCCTTTTCCTGGACCCCACCCACGACCCCAATGTGCCCCCCTGGTCCCTGGCCTTGCCCCTGACCCCAGCCGGCAGCACCGGCAAAGCTCTGCCTGGGAGGATGAGGCTCTCTGCGAAGCTCCCAGCCCTGCGTCCTGTACCTCCCGGAGGCCTCCCCACCTCTGAAGCCCAGCCGCCCAGCCTGGCACAGGGCACCTCCCAGAACGTCCTCCCGGGGCGAGGGCACCTGCTCCCCCGGGGCCTCCCATGACAGGGCCCTCCGGACGGCAAGGGAAGGATGCGGCCGCTGCCAGCTCCTCGGATTAGACGTGGTGGGAGATGCCCCAGCCCCCGCCTGGTCAATTCCCAGCTCATGCCAGCTGGGTTCCGTGGGGTGCAGACAGAGGGGCCCAAGGGAGGAGATGGCTGGAGCTGGGGCAGCTGGGGGACCTGCTGGGCCCCCGCCCCCCAGCCAGGCTCAAATGACTTTTGATTATTTTGATGCCCTAGCTCAGACTCACACAAGCTGCCAGGGAGCCCTTCCCGGGCGCCTGGTGCTCGGCTGAGCGCTTTTCTCACAACCACCAGTGAGGCGGGAGCAGGGCCCCTCCTACTGTACGGATGAGGAGACTAAGGCACAGCCACAGCGACTTTCCCCAGGAAATGACAGCACCAGGACATGGCTCTGGACGCGCCTCCCGCAGACCTGTTGCATGAGATTACCCCTGCATCAGGGAGAAAGGCAAGGGGACCCCCACGTCCAGCCTCCAGGGCAGTCACAGGCTGCCTCTCATTTAACGCCCCCTGACAGCATGACCGCAACCAGCCTGCCATCTGCATTCAGGGAGGGGCCCCCAGAGACCAGAGACGTGCAGGCGCTCGCAGGGCTGATGAGCGGAGGACACAGGCTTGAACCCAGGTCAGGTCAACGGTGAGTGAGACAAGGAACACGCCTTGCCCAGAAGACCTAGGCTGGACACGTCTTTGTGCCAGCATTCATTTGCTCCCAAGCCCTTCAGCCCCCGGGGACGAGAGCAGAGCCCTGCACTCAAAGCCCCCCGCTCCTCAGCTTATCCATCAGTCCAGAGTTATCCCTCTCAACCTCTCCGCCTCAGTTTCCACATGTGAGAAAAGGGAAGCATGTGAGAAGCAGATGTGAAAAATGAATGTGAAAAAGCACTATTACTCCCCTTATATTAAATGTCCAGAAAAAGGCACATGTGCAGATTAGCGGCGGCCTGAAGCTGGAGTAGGGAGCAAGGAAACTGCAAATGAGCACGAGGCATCCTTGTGAGATCATAGCAGTGCCCCCAAACTAGGCTGTGGTAAGCACTGCAACAGCTCTGTAAATCCACCACGTTGCTACCTGCTCGCTTAAAACAAGGTAAGTTTGTGGTATACAAATTATACTTCAAGAAAGCCATTCACCGGGCGCCTGGGTGGCTCAGTTGGTTAAGCGACTGCCTTCGGCTCAGGTCATGATCCTGGAGTCCCTGGATCGAGTCCCGCATCGGGCTCCCTGCTCGGCGGGGAGTCTGCTTCTCCCTCTGACCCTCCTCCCTCTCATGCTCTCTGTCTCTCATTCTCTCTGTCTCAAATAAATAAATAAAATCTTCAAAAAAAAAAAAAAAGAAAGAAAGAAAGCCATTCACCAGAAGCACTATTTGGCCAATAATCATAATTAGCACTAATTAGTACCACCAATGCTGATGATACCAGCAACTACACTTATTGGGCACGCCACCCCGGCTAATTCCTTCTATCCTCACGACCACTGGTGACACCCCACTTTTGAGATGAGGAAGCTGAGGCTCAGGGAAGCGAGTAACTGGCCCTCGGTCTCATGGCCAGAGCGCCATGTCTCCCAGCAGCGCAGGCTTCTGCTCACGCTGGTCCCGCCAGACTTTGAGAAGGAGAATCAACCCGCCCTGCGCCACAGTCCCCAAGGCCCATGGCTGGGCAGCCTGGTTGGCTTTATTTTTCTGCAAACAAGTTTCAAAACTAAAGCAAAGCACATTATTCTGGGAGCCACCAACAGAGCCACTGCCGAGATTATAATCATCTGAAGGGAAATGACCATAAGGCCCCTTACACTGAAAAGGCCCAATCGGGGGAAATGAGCGTGTTGACGCAGAAAGCCCCAAATTCAGGCTGCACTGTTTAAAGCCTTTTGTTCTAAACACGTTTGACCTTGGCTGCTGCCGGCCCACCCCTCCCAAGTGCAGTTTGCTTTGGGGGCACACAGCTTAGTGCTCTAGGAGCAGGCTGGAGAGATGCGCCGGGGCCAAAGCTCCCAGGACGTAGGTGCAGGGATGTCAGCAAAGGACGAGGGCCCCCGGCCTTACAGTGGTACCGTTCCTCTCACACGTGCACGCACACCACACGCGCACGCACGGCCGGGACCGCACACACCCTCCTCCGGCAGGGGTGCAGAAAGGGAAGGGGTGCAAAAATGGGGCACAAGCAATCTCAGGAGCCCCTGCGACTTGAATGTTTCAGAACCCACAGAGAAGGCAGGTCCAAGAAAAGTCCCGTTCAGCCAGCTACCTTGTTCCTTCCAAGTAAATGCCTGTATAGCTTTTACTATTGCCAGGCATTCTTCTAAGAGCTTTGCATGTGTTACCACATTCAGTTCTCTCGACAGCCCAGTGAGATGGGTACTATTATTATCTCCATCTACGGGTAAGAAAAGCGAGGCACAGAGAGGTTGAGTAACTTGCCAGGTGCCACACAGCTGGGAGGCAGCAGAGCCAGGAATCAACCCCAGTCAGCCTGGTTCTGAGTCGGTGCCTTCACCCTCAACTTCCCACTGCTTCTTTCCTTTGGGAGGGGGGGAGCCGACACCCGAGGAGATCAAGTGCCAAAAGCAGTGACTAATGCAGGCCCTCGGCTTCCCCTCCCCCTAGAATGACTACAAAGTAATATGACAAAATGAGTAGAGAAATCACTTTCAAAACGGAGATTAAAATCATTTAAAAATGACTAATCCTGCAAAAAGGCCTGGTAGGAAATGGGTTATATGAGGCTTTTGCTGTCTGCTGCAGGAAGGGAACCAAAACAAGCATAAAAGAGGGGAGAAATTTCGATAAAAATTCAATTAAGTAGCAAAAAGAACATTAACTGGGCTTCAGAACGCATCTGTAGCAGAAAGCACAGGGCGGACCACAAGCTCACGAGGCGGCGCTGGGCGCCCCACACCAGCCCGCACCAGCCCGCACCAGCCCGCACCGCCTCTCACACACCCTGTCTGCGCAGAGCACAGTGGCTGCTGCCCAGAAGGGCTGGGAGCCTCACCCCCTGGCTCTTCCTGTCACAGAGAATCAGGGCCACGGCAGCCGAGGAAGTGCCTGGACAGAGGCGGGACGTCAGGTGGCCCCCAGGCCACAGGAGCGAGCAGAAGGGGGGACCTTCCAGCAGTGCGGACACCGGCTGAGGAGGAAGTGAGCCCTCACGACCAAAGGTCTGCAAGAGGAATAAATGGTTCTGAAAAGCGCCCTGGGAAGTGCCCTGCAGCCGACGGGAAAGGGAAAAGCACGGATAC